AAAAAAAAAAAAAAAAAAAAAAAAAAAAATATATTGAAGCACAATTTGGTATACCGAATCATACAGAGTTCAAAACAGAAATACAGGCCAACAAAACAAAGTGGAAGTGCCAGAAATAAATTTATACACATATAAGAAGTTTCATTACAAACCTGATGAAGTAAATGGGGGGAAGAACCATTACTTAAGGGGTGCTGCTGGAAGCGTGGGAGTTTTCTGTAGAAATGGACTCCACACAGTACAAATGAGACCAAGAGGTAATTTTTTTTTAAGTATAAAAAATGTGAAAGAAAATGAAAAAGTAGACATATTATATTTTAAATAGATTGAGGCATTTGAGTTCGAGTTTATAAATACAATTTATATACTAAGAAAACTAAGCTTAAGAGAATAGAATCAGGGGGACTCTGCAAAACATGTGTCCCATGGGACCTTCATTTTCAGCATATATGGGAAATGAGTACAAATGCCTGAGAATGATGTTTAGTCTTGAATGGACAGACAGGATCCATGGACAGCTAATACCAAAGGAAACACAAATAATAAAGAGACGTTTAGCAAAAGGCTCAACCTAACTAGCAATTTTTAACATAAATAAAAACTGAGAATTAATACTTCACCAGTATTAATTGAGAAATTAAACTGAAAGTATTAAATCCAGTGTTGGAAGAGCTTTAAGAAAACTTTCATATATTACAGCTGATGTTGTAATAAATTAGTACAGTATTCTTGAATATCACTTTGTTAATAAAAATCATAAATCCCATCTTATTTTGTGAACCAGTAATTGTCCCTTTAGGAATCTATTCCAAGAAATTAATTGAAAAGGGGAAAAGTCATTTTTATACAAAGACATTTTAATCAACAGTGAATAAGAGGCCAAATTCTCAATAATTGGAAAACTGAGGAGGCAATGCTATACGAGTCCATGGAGTACTTTATGGGCGTTAAACGCGACAACTACAGTGTCAAGATAGACAAGTCTATATAACGTAACTTAACAGAAACTTAATGAAAAATTGAACACTATGTGTATAGTGATTAAGACCAAGAAAAAAATGGACATTCATAAGTATTCTAAATTGATTGGATTTTATGGTGAAAGTTTTTTTTAGTTGCGTTGACATTCTTTTAAGGTTTTAGCTTTTATTTAAATGAGTACAGCCAAAAACCTAAGGCATTTCCTTGCAAGTAAGAAACTATGAAACGCAGTCACTGTTTCCATTGTTGTTCCCAAGCCTTAAGTGACCAGGCAGGATTATCTCTGGTTTGTATGTAGCCAGATATAGCTCCTAATGATATTTCCTATTTGGGTATAAAGTCACCATTCAACACGGTTTTTCAGGAACAGTCTTTGAGACTAGATTTTTATAAACAAGGTACACATGCTGTTTACTACTCCTATTCTGGGAAATTTCTATTTTTTTTCTGGGAATAAATTCACTCCAGAAAATTTCTTTTGAAAGCAAAAATATAACTATTAATTTAGTCTTAATAGATCACCATCAGAGCCCTTGTTTTGCATTTGACTTCCTGGACACAGCTGAAAATCTATTTAAACAGGAAGGTACTGTTACTTCAGCAATTAGAGTAATGGGGTTATTTCATGGAGAGAAAAGCTTCAGGAAACAGAGCACATGAAGTATCTGAAATTATGTGTGAAAAGAGCAAAAGATGAATGTCGCATGTTATTTTTGAATGGCTGCCTTAGATAAAGAGTTGATTCTTGAACAGCTAGATTTTGTCATTTTAATATTATATCAATGTTTGCTCTATTTTTAAAATTAGGTTTACAAGTGTTTTTCAGGATTTTTAAATAAAAATAACATTAAAAAATATCAATCTTCCAACTTAAAAAATGGAAAAACACTGATACTCTACTTGTTACTAGACTTTTCCAGATAAAACGTTCCAGTAGTAGAAAAAACCTCCTGCACTTTTTTACCCAAATCAACTCATAAGACATAGAGAAAGCAATGGCAATAAATGTACTCGTCTCCACCTGCAGAATGCCATGCCTCTTTACCACCTCCCTCTCCTCTCCCAGGACACCTTATCTAAAGGACAATTTGTGGTTATTTTTGAGGCTTTGTGCATTGTTACAATTTCAATATCTTAATTCGTAGGAGTAAATGATACTGTATTGGCATAGTCCTTTGTCCTAGCTCTACACACCCACACCCTCTGTCCTCCTCAGAACTCTCCTCCTCGTCCACTGCAGCTGAGGGCGCTGCCCCCTTTGATTGGACGTTGCTCAGTTCTTCCTGGCTTTTTCATTCCATTTCATTTCTGACTACAGGTGTTTGCATTTGCAACCTCCGTCATAACTCTTTCTTCCCCTCCCACGTAACGCTTAAAACATTTAATTTAAATGTTTAAAACAGTCACCCTATAAAAGACATTGCTATTTCTTCATTTTAACTTATTTAACAAGTACGGATAGAGCACTTATAGGTACAAAACATCACAATACAAAAATGAATAGGACACAGACTCTGCCCTGAAAAGAGTTGCCATTTTAAACAGAGAAGAAAGACATGGCCACAGAAAGAAGAAAGAAATGAAGCAAAAGAAGAGAAAGGGAAAAGCAGTAGGTGTGAAAGTAACCACTCTTAAGGCCTCAGATTATTTCACGGGCACTAAGTCATGTGCTTCTGAGTCCTAGTCTTTAACGGGAAGGATTGGATCTCATCACGTGCATTTGGCCCAGATGGGAGACAATGTCATCAAGATGTAAGCAGACCAGGAAGCTTCCTACGAGTGGTAGCATGAACTCGGCTTATGCATTATACCTACACATTTGTCAAGGATTAGACTTTTAACATCTTTCTTTACCCCCATCAAGCAAACAATGCTGTATGTTTTTTGCTTCTAAATTAATGTCTCTTTTTTATTAATTAAGATGTATTTGGTAAGGTTATTTTTGAGGATTTCTTGGAATAGTTTTTAATTTTACTTGAATGGGAGAGACCGTTCTTAACAGGTCTGCAAAAATCATGCTATAGAATTATTAGTTCTTCTCCAATAGCAAAACTTTGAAGAAAAATATGATTCCTGTTTTCATAATTTCTAAAATGTATTCTAAACATAATTTCTCTTTGAAGAAATTATGATAGTAGTGTGACATAGTCTTAGGAGTAGTGCTATGTTGGAGGTTATTAATTTGTTTATGAATGGGTCTTCAGTTACTGATCCGATTTATTCCTTCCTCTAATAGATTTCCTTGATAAGCCTAAAGGTTAATTGATAAAGTAATCAATGTAAATGAATTTTACATTTTGTTCTACCATCTCCTTTTATACCTCAGATTAATGTAGCTGCTAAACGAGGAATGAAATTTGTTGGATTCCTATCACAGCATTATCCACCACTTAAACTCTGCAACGGAACCAACCACGATGGAGACGTAGAATCAACACTAGATGTGAGACACAGTTCAGATGAAAACTGCAAAAGCTGGAATGAAGGAACGTTAAGTGGGCAATCGTCTGAAAGTGGAATTGAGGAAGAACTTCATCATGAAAGTGGACAGTGTCAAATGGAACGAGATGGAAGCCCTGGTTCCTCTAAATCAAGAAAGGGAGAAGGTAATAGTCAAGATGAGTAGAATTAGAATATGTATTAATTTAAATTTAGCAAAAATACATTTTTGAAGTTTTTTTAGAAATATGAGGCAGAGTAAATTTCTAAAGATTATAAAGACTGAATACATTAATATAAACTTGTCGTGATTTTTAAAAAATTATTACAGCCAGAAATAAGGCAGGGCAGTTTTTCAAAAGGTTGTCCCTGGCGTGGTCATTCACTGCCATCCACATAATGAAACTATGTGTTGAAAATTGGTTTCCATTTAGTCATTCACCAGCTCCCCTGTAAAATGGAGGCTGGGCATGTGTACCAACACAGTGATTGTATAAAGAAAGCTTTTTGATTTATGTTTGTCCTTATAAACAGTGTGTGAGAATTTTAGTTTTGGCCTTTCCCATTTCATGGATGGTTTTCACCTTTGAAGTTAATTGCCTTTCTTTGATCATCAATTAGAATATGAAAATACACATCATTGTGAAACAATTAGTATAACAATAGTGCCTGCATCCTAAAATAACTTTAAACAATAGTTTTATTCTTCTTTGCCAACCAGCAAGTCTTCCCAAGAAATCGAGAGTATTTTTTCATGTATTTTGGACTGTTCAAAGTTTTCTGATACCTTTACGGGCATACTTTAAAAAGCACTATTAGAGAAAATCAAAGACTACGTACACCTTAGAGTTAAGCGCTCTGCAGTCACACTGCCTGAGTTTCTTGATGGAGAGGGAGTTGTTGTGAGAAGTAGATAAGAGATGTCCATAAAGCACTGAGCCCAGTGCCTGGCACACAGTATACTCTGTATTAAGTTAGCTACTATTTACTGATCCTTTGATCAGTGTTGGTGCTGAAGCTGCACATGCCCATGGCACTGGCTTCCTGGGTTGTGGTGAGATATGCTCAACATCCTATATAGGCAGAGACATTTGACCATGGCCAGCACAGTCTCCTTCAGAAAGAACCAGGAGCATTTCCCATCTCACCCGCCCTCACCACCACCCTCCCATTTTTCATCAGTTCCCTAGCTAACGACCACCCTGATTTTCCTGCAGCGTACAAACTTTGGGAATGTAAAGTGAACGAGAATTGTTGGAGCTGTGGTCAGACAGCTATTTACAGTCTTCCACCCACTGCTACCTTCAAGCTCCTGCTGGTTCCATCCAGACTTTGATTAGATCAGGAGTCTATTTCCAGTCCTTTGAGTTCTAAATCTAGTATGCCACCTAGTTAATTTAATCACCAATCTTTAGGTTCCACTTTCCAAATCATTTATTTTTAAATCATATACTTGTTAATAACTTTTATACAGCAGTGATTGTTAACTTTGGGTGTGGGAGTGTGGGGGAGACACACGGAAAATACCTCTTGAAGACTCTGGTGAAATCCATGGAGACTCAACCCAGAAAAAAGCACATAACACACACACTCAAACACTTTTATCTGTAATATGAGTGGTGTTAGACTTCCTAAAACACACCCATAGATGTGGGTTCATAGACCCCGCAAGTTAAGAATTTGCCAACTTATAGTAAAGTAGAAGATGAATGACCCAGCGATTCCATGTCTAAGTGTATATTCTAGAGTCATTCTCACGTATTTGTCCAAGGAGACATGAATAACGTCTGTCATAACCAAAATTTGAAAATAATGTTTGTGTCCATCAACAGGAGAAGAGTAAACTGGAATACTATGTAGCAGTTAAACTAAACGAATAAGAGCTATATGTGTTAATTATGCTTCAAAACATAATGCTGAACAAGAAAATCAAGTTATAGGTTAATGTATACAGTATGATATCATTTTTAAAAAGTTTTTTAAACTGTAAAATGTATATCATTTATGGGTATATAAATGTGTTTTGAAAGAATAAAGACTTGCATGAGAATGGTAAACACCAAATTCATTATAGTAACTATTTCTGGAGAATAGGATGAGGGAAGACTTCTCATTGAACCTCAAATACATCCACTTTTCATTTCCTTGAAAAAAGTCTGAAGCAACATGGCACAATGTCAACGTTTAATAAAGCTGAGTAGTGGGTCATTTTATTATTATCTATGCTTCTTTACATGCTTGAAATTGTGATTAATAAAAAAAATTTTTTTAATTCTTTCAGCACAATTATGGTTTTTCCCTTTTTTCTTCCTTCTGAATGCCCCTTCTCAGATAACAAGTTGTATATAGTCTTCAATGTTTTTGATGATGAATCAAGCTGCTGGACCTATCAGGAAGGCATCCTGTCAATGAAAGTAACAAGAAAAGGATCTGTGATTAGTACCCTTGATGCTGATTGGCTGGAGTTAACTACGTTTTATTATAAACAAGGCTTGTCTTTAATAGATTCTTTTGTATGCTGGGAAGCATCTAAAGGTAAGTTTTATATTATGATATATTGATATCTAAAGAATTTGACATTGTTTCAGAGTTGGTGGAAATGTTTTTGCCTCTCAGTTTGTATGGCTGAAAGGAAAGATATTATTCTTAAGGAAACAGATTCCAATTCTTGTATAGCTATAGCTTTAATTTAAAAGCTTAACCATCCTGTGTGGTAGAATTATAATGTAATGTTTGTGGTTGTGTTGTAACTGTCAGGAATAAACAAACCACCGTGTGATTGACAAGTAGGATTTTCCAGATAAGATCTACTACAACAGCCCAATCAGCAGGCGTAGGATAGCATTTGACAGTTATTATTCAAATTTGTTACGCTATCCCAATTTTGGACACTATGGACCATGTAGTCCAGTCTATACCTGACTCATTCTGTAATTTGTATAGAAAAGTCATCTTTGGTTCAGAAAATGATATTGACCCTATATTTATTATTTCTGCTTTCCCCTCATCTGTCATTTTCTCTAGCCTTCCCCTTTTGTTACAATGGGATATGTAATCATTCATGTCTATGACAAAAACAAACAAAACTTTCCAAAAATGACTTTCTAGGGAAAATGATTTTAAAAAGAGATTAATACTAAAAGAAAATAAAAATAGAAAGTAAGGAGACTGGAAAAAATGCATTAGCAAGGATGGAGGTTATGAAAATCAGGATAATTAGGGGCCTTAACTCAATGAAGTTAGAGGAAAGAATTGAAAAAGCAATAAGATGGGATGCCAATATACCTTATTATCTTTAAAACAGCCTAGTGATACCTTTAAAATACAGCTAAACACTTTGGATGATTATTTAAAATTATCAAGAGTCATGTTCCAATAGGTCCCTTCAACTAGCACCGAAAAATAAGGTGCTAGCCCACTGGAGCCCCCAGAAATGCAGCGCCCTGCGTGGTGCTTGGCGATAGCAGCTGCTCAGTAATTAGTTCTCAGTCTTTTTGGTTCTTGGAAACTTCCTCCAGCTTGATCCTTTATGGAAACAGCAAGGTCTAGCAGGAGGAGCAGGGACTTGAGGATCAGACAGACCAGGATTTACAGCCTGTGTCCTCTACTTGTTGGCTGTGTGATCTGGGCAAGCTGAGTGCATGGAGCCTCAGTTTCCTACCAAAGGGGGATAAAAACACTCCACCTCTATTGTCGGAATTTAATAAGACAGAGTGTGTGCAAAGTGACTCCCCAAGTGCCGCCCACCGTCGGAGTTCATTTTCTGGTGTCGCTTTCTTCCCTGCAACTTGTTACGTGCAGTTACCTACTTTCAGTACGGATCGCCCATTTGGAGGTCACCCCTGCTTGGTGTAGTTCTCTCTCTGTCTCCTCTTTCTCTTTCTCTACCCTCCAAAGAGTCTAAGTTGGAGCCATTTCAGAGTTTCTGTTGTGACTCACTGCTGAAGGAAAAACGAAAAATGCTCCTTTCACAATCTCTTTCGGGCGTCCCTGCCTTGGGCCTTGCCTGATGAAAATAAAATTAGTCACAGCAGTTGCCAGTCAGAGGCTCTGTGGGGCTTTTGTTCTTAAAGCCTCAGAAGCTATTTAGAGAGCCCAGGGGAGAATCTCGCCCTCCCAGCAGCTCCGGAATGTCTCGTTAGACATTTTACACTGCAGGCCACGCCAAGCCCCTAACGAGCTGCTGCGGCCTGTGGGGTCTGGCAAACGGGTGTGTCACTCGGGACTTTCCTGGGAGTACACGAGAAGCTGCAGACGGGAAATTGTGACCATGCCTGTGTGGCTGTGAGAAGCAAGTCAGAGGAAGCAAGGCTGAGCCGGGCGCTTTGTTCCGGGGCGTTTGATGCCTGACATCTAAAGCCCTTTGGGGACAATGCCTATTTTGTTTTGTCTTGCTTCCAGCCTCTTCCAAAATATTGTCAGCAGTCAGCCCACCACGAGGAATAGAGGTACAAATCCAGACATTGCCCTGAATTAAATAGATTACTTCACAAATTTCATTTTATAAAATGTCTTCCTCCAGAAACAGAGAGGGAAAAAAACTTTTTAAAAGTTTTCTCCTTCGATAAGGCCATGGTGGGAAAGTTGTAAGGTCTGTGAAATTCCTCTTCAGTGTCCTTTCCCACCCACCCTCAAAGTCTTTTCTGCTTTGAAGAGCCCCATGGGGGAGGCCCTCTTGCTGTTCCTTGCAGCTGAGGTTCGCACTGCCGTGGCCTCCTGTTCTTGACCTTCTCCAGCATTGCTGGGCCTTCACCAAACTGCTCCTCAGCCAGATTCACTGCACACTTACAAGGGTCTGGGGCTGTATGGCAAAAACCTCCGAATGGACCCAGGAGAGCCTACAAGAGGCTGACCCAATTGAGCCAACATAGACAAAACACTGTACTCTACCAGAACATGTAGCGATCCAGTGGGCCGCTGACATGGGATAAGACGAGCTGCTTTGCCAGCTGGTACAACACACACACATGCACACACACATACGCAAACACCCTTGAGGTTCCCACACTTCACCAGACTACAAATGCCCCATCACCTCAGAGCATAGTCTCTTCCCACCTTTAGTATACCCACATCTTAAAAACCTACATTCTGGTATTTTTAAGAATTCTTTTCAGACTTCACTTGATATTCATTTCAATCTCTTCATCGCTGTAAAGATGCTTGTGTGGAGCTGGCAGGGGAGATACATCAGAATGAGGAGTGGGGTGGAATAATGACATGGAAACATATATTTATTCATTTCACATATGTATTTCTGCCAAGCACTGTGCCAGCCACTGGGTTGACAATGCTAAGCAAAATGGACAACTTCCCTACTCTCAAAAAGCTAGCCATGTGGCACCAGGCGGTCAGGCAGTAACAGTGTCAAACCGTGTATGCCTAATTTCAAAATTGAGAAAGGTGTTGACACATTACCCACAGGACATTGTAAGGAGAGGAAGAGGGAAGATCCCAATTACAGGTGTGCTCAGGGGGTCCCCTCTGACAGGTGACAGTCCCACTGAGAATGGAAAGCTGGAAAGGAGCTGGCACACGAGAGCCAGAAGTAGACTGTTCCAGGCAAAAGAAATACCCCTAAATGGAGAAAAACTCTAGGACAGGAAAAAGGAACTGTGAAAAAGTCTGTGTCACTGGAGCAGGGCATGCAAGACAGAATGGCTCCAGACAAGGTGGGGGAGAGAAGCAGCAGCCACTCCATGCAGAGTCTCACAATAGAAATGATGCGACAGGGGCGACCAGGCGTTTGTACTTACCACGTGCCTGCGTTGTTCTAAGCACTCTGCGTTTATTAACTCATGTAATCCCCACAGCAACAGGGGTGTAGATGTGATTATTCCCCTTGTACAGATGAGGAAACTGAGGCATGGAGATATTAATTAGTGTGCCCAGGTTAATGCAACTAGAAAATGTAGGGGGAGGCACCTAGGTGTAGTGTGTGCTCTTAACCAACTTGCCATCCTGCCAGGATTTTTATCCCAAGTCATTCCATGAAGATTTAAAGAAGGAATTATGACCTGACCAGCATTGTTAAAAGGACTTCTTTGGCCTCATTTTGGGAAGTGGATCATAGAGGGCAGAGTGGAAGTGGGGAGGCTGTTGCAGTGATGCACAGAGAGAGGACTGTGGAGATAGACAGAGGTCAGCAGGCTGATATTCGTTTTGGAGACAGAATGTTCATGAACGAGATTCCATATGAGCTTGCCCTCCACTTCTCAGAGATGGTCCTGGGCCCACCTTGGGCCATTTAATGCCAAAAATGACGCATGGACCAAACAATCTAAAGTGGAATGTTACCTTTTCCCGGGATGTCAATGCCATATCTAGCTGAAGTGACTGTGTAAGAGCACACGTGCAGACAAGGAAACCTTTCCCTGGGAATCCTTCAAGCTTGTGCGTCTCAAACCAGCGTCCAAGCACCCGAGGGGCATGCAGCCTTGTGCCAGGGAGGCCACAAGTTCACAGGACAGACTTCTTCCTAGAGTGTCAGTATTACTTTAAGATTGGGGGATGGGAATAAGGCAGAGGGGAGAACATGACTTTTTTACATTATATGAATATATTTGGAAAGAATGCAAAGTTTGTGTGGATTTTTAAGATATAACAGACTTTAAAAAAACTTACTGCTGCCACAAATCACTTCAAACTGCGCCTGGAGACCGTCCTTCAATGACACAACTGTACTTTCCTTTGCTATTGCTGGTATTTGACTAAAACAACTTTTTTTGAGAAGCAGTGGTTCAGGCCAAAATTTGGTAACTTTTTCATATTATGCACACATAGAAAATGGTAGTACTGGTGGGCGCATGGTTAAGTGGATAAAGCCACTCTGGGCAGGAGGGGGCGCCCTGCATCTTGGCACACCTACAACCGTTCTCAGCGCACCAATGGGCCAAGGCACACTGGAAGCCCTGGGCTATGTACTCTGAAGAGGTAACTCAGTTCAGGGGCAGTTACTAAGTGATTGTTCAGAATTACCACCTCAGCTCATTACCTGGAAGACTTGACACATTGAGGACCCAAGGGTCACTCCCCGTGAGACCTTGCCTGCCACCCTCCCTAGCTGCCACTTCTATTAGGGAAGACTTCTCAAGAGATCTGAGTACTCCCTCCTGTGGAAGTCTCAGTCCGCTGTGGCTCTAGGGGCTGAAATAGGCCCTAAGAAAGCTAGCCAGGGGCCCTGGGGAGTTCTAAAGTGAGAAGGAAGGACTGCTCTTTTTTTTTTTTTTTTTAGTTGTTTTACTCATTGCAGATTGTTTTTTTAGATTTTTTATTTTTTATTTATTTTTTATTTTTCCTTCTCCCCAAAGCCCCCCAGTATGTAGTTGTATATTTTAGTTGTGGGTCCTTCTAGTTGTGGCATGTGGGATGCCGCCTCAGCATGGCCTAATGAGCAGTGCCATGTCCACACCCAGAATCCAAACCGGAGAATCCCTGGGCCGCCGAAGCCAGAGCATACGAACTTAACCACTCAGCCACGGTCTGCTCTTAATTGAAGTATAAAATACATGTAGTAGAGTACATTAATCCTGTGTGTACAGCTGAATAGAGCACAAACGTTCAAGATCGAGAACATTTCCTTATGTGTCCATTATAGCTCAATAAAGCTGGAAAAAATCTTATGTCAATCATAGCTCCATAAAGCCGGAGGGAAAAAAAAGAAATGCAAAGAAAAAAGTACAGAACACTTCCAGCATCGCAGAAGACCTCCTCCTGACCCTTCCCAGTCAACTCTCCCACCCGGAGACGAGCGCTATTCTGCGTCTCATCACCATGGGTTAACTTTGCCTGTTCTTGAACTTCTCGTGGGTTGAAGTATACCATATATACTCTTTCGTGTCTGGCTTCTTTTGTTTAACACAGTCTCTCTGAAATTCCTCCGTGTTGTTGCATAACAGTGAGTCTTTCTTTTTGTTCTTGTGTAGTATCACGTTGATGAGTCCACCACACGTTCAGTCTTTTAAACCAAAAGACGTTTACAAGTACTAGGGTACCTCAATATTCAGAACAACAAAACAGACACAGAGCCACAAAACCCGGGGTTCTTACATTGTCTAATCCCAAAGTAAATAAGAGGCAGATTATAATTAACTACGTGATTATCACAGTACATAATTATTTTCTCAATTCACACTCCCATTCTGAAAAAGGATGTGGGGAACATACAGTTTTAGAGATGGTCTTCGGATGCTCTAAACTTACAACCAGAAACAGATTTAATTCCTCTGGTCACTTTGTCGTGACAGTGGACGAGTACATTCAAAGGAAGTGGGACATACGCTGTAATTAGAAAACCATTTCCATCTAGTAAATTCAACTTTATGGGTTTGTGGGAACCACTCTGAACAGTGTAAATTCTTCATGATATTCTGCCCTAATTGTAAATGATGTAAAAATAGTAATAATGGTGATGATCGTTTTTCTCTTAATGTTTATAGCCTATTAAATAAAAATTAAAACTGAAAATTACATTGTAAGCTTAATAGATCATTTGACAACTTTATAGGTTATTATTTAGACAACTGTCAACTAGGGTAACTTTGATGTGGCATTGTATTTTATAAAAACCAAAATGTTTGATCAGCAAATGACCATGGGAAAATTGTCTCCCGTTGCAAAATAGGAGACAAAAGAACTTCCATAAAATCAGTTTAGTTTTGGCCAGCTGGTTATTGTCAACTATTCAAGAAAATGCCAGAGAGGCCCTCCCTTAAAACTTCCTTCCCAGCAGGAATTCTTTTGACAATGACCTCTGTTTAGGATCTTCCTGTTACCATTCTTTTTTTTTTTTTTTAAGCATCACTGAGGTAAAGAATTTTTTGTTATTATATTTTTTGAAGTAATCTGACCTCACATTAGTTTTAATATCACACCTGTAATTTCAAGGGTTGACATTTTTTATGTTGTTTCTCTTAATGGTATAATTAACATGCATACAGCATATAGATCAGAAACCAAAATTAGATTTCAAAGTGAAGGTCATTTCCAGATGCTTTTTAGGCTTAAGAAATCCACTTGCTTTTCACCTTATGATATTATTTTATCTTGTTTTTGTTATTGCAATTTTCGTGTTTGTAGTTTGATTTTAATTCAGTGAAGTAAAAAAAAAAAATTTAACCTTCAAAGAGAAGGAGGATGTTATTGATTCAGCTAAAACAAGTGTTTATTAATTGGTATGATTTTTTTTTCAGCTTCCTACAAGGGTTACTTAAGGATTTAGATGATCTTAAGAGACACTTAGTATTTACAACTCTTCTTAATTGCATCCTTTTCCTCACAGGGGACCATTCGCCTAAATCTTTGGAAGGATTCTTTATCTATGAAGAAGAAGGTTCTGGAGTTCCAGGTTCCAGTAGGAAAGGAAATGATGCCATCGTGGTAGAACAATGGACCGTTATTGAGGTAAACTGCAATTTTCTGACAATGTAGCTTTTCTTTTATATTTAGTTCTACATGGTAAAGATCTTCACAGGGCCAGCCCCATGGCCAAGTTGTTGGGTTCACGCATTTGGCATTGGCGGCCCAGGGTTCACCAGTTCAGATCCTGGGTGCAGACATATACACCACTCATAAGCCATGCTGTGGCGGGATCCTGCATAGAAGAACTATAATGACTTACAACTAGGATATACAACTATGTACTGGGGCTTTAGGGAGAAAAAAGAAAAAAAAGAGGAAGATTGGCAACAAATGTTAGCTCAGGGCCAATTTTCCTCACCAAAAAAAGAAGATCTTCATTGCCTAGTACGTGCAGTATCCTTCAAACACATGTCGGTGCGGTGTTCTGTGTTCCTCACAAGTGCACAAACAACCAGACTTCTGCCAGATTTGTGAAAAGGTGATTTTGCTTTACCCAATGTTCAGCTTTGTTAGAAGATAGCAAAATAATTATCCATACATAAAAAGCAGTGGATTCCCAAAGATTTGGCATTCTCATCCTAAACGAAGTGCCCTGGCACTGAGATCCTCTACACAATGCCATGACAACTGGTTGAAAGTGAAAAAAATTCAGTCAATAACTAGTATTTTATCTCCAAGCAACCAATGTGCATGGTTTTGTTTACCTTGTGAATTGACTTTCAAAGGCAAAAATATCCAAAAGGTGTTCTCTCTCTCGCCAGGCCAAATATGTACACACAGCATTGTCCTTCCTAGTCAGAGAGGACATTGCTGCTGATGTGCACTCTGAATTCAGCTGTCACCGAATGGACTGCCCTTGAGGTGTCCACACTGAATTCGGGTCTACTGTGTTGTGTGGAAGAGGCCCTCACTGACAGGCTCCTTCAGGGACATTTTTGTCTTCCAGACCTTACAAAGATTAGAAAGACGTAGCCCATTTTCAAGGAAACTAGAAATTCCATTGAGGGGGAAATAATCGGATTTGGAGGAAGATGTCAAGCTCCAGGTTCCAAGGGAGAAATAGCAATGAAAAGCCTGTGCACCTAAGCTCCTCTCCCCTTCACTCCCCAGTCCTCACTCCCCACCCTTGTCCTCACGTCCCAATCCCCAGACCAGTGTTTCTGAGAGTGTGGTGTGTAAGCTACTTGGGTCCAAATCAACTAGGGAGCCTTTTTGAAATGTAGTTTCTCCCCACCCACCCCACCCCACCCCCATTAAAGCTTGATGCCCGAAGACAAGACCAAGGAAACAAGACCCAAGCTTTGCAGAACCAGATGGAAACCTCTGTCCACTCTGATCCCCAGTGTTTCTAACTTGGTTCAATGGTTAGAAGGCAGCAGAAAATGAAGCCCAGGAAGACTGCAGCCCAGTGAAATGACACCTAATGGAGTGGGAGCTCCCCTTGTCCTAACACCCATGACCCTTTATTGCAGCCACTGGTGTAGCTGGTTGTCTTTGCCATTAGACTGAGCTTTATGTTTATTCACGCAGGGCTGTGAAATCAAGACGGATTATGGCCCTCTGCTGCACACCCTGGCTGAGTTTGGATGGCTCCTGACAAGCGTGCTGCCTACACCCATACTGAGACACGACAGGTAACCCCAAAGTAGCCTTACGTGCTCTCGTTTAGTTCTAAAAGATACTGCATTTGTTAGATAACTCAATTTAACAAATGCTTACTTAATGCCTACAAATGCAGTTCCCTGAACTTCTAATCTGATTTCCTGGACCTTGATGCTCAGCAAATCTAATCCTCTCACGTTATCTATGAACGAGCTACTAGGTCTCCTTCCCAAGGGCATGCAAGTTCCTGGTGACAGAGCAGGGCTGCAGGAAACCGGCTCACACCAGCGCTACTTGCAGCCTTGAATGCTGCCTCTCCACTCAAACGCTGTGTTCTTAGATACCTCTTTTTTTTTCAATTCAAGATGCTAGTTCTTCCCTCCAGTGAAGGTTGTGTTGGTATAAATCTGCCAACAGAAAACACAGCCCCTCCCTAGGGTCTTTTGCCCTGCTCTTCTGTGCTGCAGAGCAGAAGGCCTTCACCCCAGCACGCAGCCACAGTTAGGACCACAGGGGGCCTAGGGAGGCCAGGGCGGAGGCCAGCACTTCCGCCTCCTTCCTCCCCTCCAGTGTGCTGGGTTAGCTTTCTCCTCAGTCTCGTCCGCCCTCCTCGCCTTCTCTGGTTTTTCCAGCTTAGCACCTTACCTCTGTCCAGTATCCCAAGGTCCCCCACACTTTAAAAACATTTGATTGACATGGCTTTAAAATAAACCACACCTTCTTCAGGTGGGGAGAGGGATGAAGATGGATACAGAGTAAAGACACTCAAGCTTTAAAAAGAGGGGTAGAAGTGAGCAAAGCAATTAATCTGCTTTTCTCCTCAGAGAGCTTTTGGTAACTGTTCTCAAACTATGAGTGACAACGTCCTGAAGCATTATTTCCCGACTGTTTTTTAACCTCTGACATACCTGCCAGATCACAATACAGCAGTACTTCTCAAGATTTGGCTTTCAGAACAAGCAATATGAATCACCTGGGGAGCCGGGGAACCTACACATGCGGGAGGCCTGGCCCCGTAGGACAGGCAGGAGCTCTGAGGGTGGGACCCGTGAATCAGCATTTTCACAAGCTCCTTGAGCTCATTAGCGTTTGAAGAACCTTGCAGGAGGTAGTGAGAGAAAGGAACTCCTCTGCCTTTCCACCACTCACCATGGATACCCAAGCCAATGGTCTATCCCACCCTTTACCCTCCCTCAGAATAACGTGTGTGTTTGCCCTCACCTCTTTTTGGTGGCTCTCCAGCTGTATGATTTAGGGCATCATTTGGCCCATTACAGTTAGCCCTTCCTAAAAGTACTCTGAGTTCTGAACCTTTCATGTTCCTTCTTCCCCAGTGAAAAATATATTCATCATTCCTCCCTCCTGTCCATTCGGGGTTTCTGCTCTCATGAGTCTGAATGTTTCCTGACAGGATGTGAGTTACTGGCTCGGCCCTAGATTAGACAGTGGGCCTACAGGGGCTGCATGCTGAGCTGGAACTCAGGCTGGAGCTCCTTCAGCGGCTCTGCCTCTGGGTGGTTTGGGAATGAGGACAGAGACCAAAGGTGAGAAAAAAGAGGTCTAAGCTGCAGGGAGCCTGGAGCCACCACTTGCCCACCATGTCCTGCGTGAGGTCACAGGCTCTCCCCCACGATTAGGAGGCCCCCTGGAGTGAGGAGCGGCTGTCTGCACTTTTGGGAGCAGAGGTAGCACCCCCGCCTCACCACCATCCAGCCTCCCTTTACCCCAGTGTCCACCAGACATGTGGAGTCAGTGTGGAGCTGTCCGGCCCTCCTGCAAAGGCTCATTTTCAGTGTAAATCAGATAACACGGGGGCTAGTTGCTGGGCTGCCCATTGAACTACTGTTTGTAACAGCAAAAAATTGGACACAGTATAAACGTCTATCACTAGGAAACTGGTGAAGTAAGTTATGGACTATCCATACAATAGAGTAGTGTGAAGCTGATAAAAAAGAATGAGCAGCTCTATATGTGTATTGTCATAGAATACTTTCTGTTGATAATTGTTGAGTTTAAAAAAAAGTTTCAGGACAGTATTATAGTACAATCACAATTTTTAAAGTTTATACATTTTAAAGATTTTTATTTTTTCCTTTTTCTCCCCAAAGCCCCCCCGGTACATAGTTGTGTATTCTTCGTTGTTCTTCGTTGTGGGTTCTTCTAGTTGTGGCATGTGGGACGCTGCCTCAGCGTGGTCTGATGAGCAGTGCCATGTCCACGCCCAGGATTCGAACTAACGAAACACTGGGCCGCCTGCCCCGGAGCGCGCGAACTTAACCACTCGGCCACGGGGCCAGCCCCTAAAGTTTATACATTTTGAATATATCTAGCAAAACTCTGAAAGGCTACACAACAACTTCTAGTGAGTGCTTAGTTCTGGGGATTATAGGTAGGGGAAGGGAAAGTGTCTTTATACATTTTTCTAGGATTTGACTTTTTTACAAGAAATATGTGTTTATTCCATGATTTTTTAAAAAACAGTTTTAGAGGGGCTGGCCCCGTGGCCAAGTGGTTAAGTTCGCGCGCTCCGCTGCAGGCGGCCCAGTGTTTCGCTAGTTCGAATCCTGGGCGCGGACATTGCACTGCTCATCAGACCACGCTGAGGCGGCGTCCCACGTGCCACAACTAGAAGAACCCACAACGAAGAATACACAACTATGTACCGAGGGGCTTTGGGGAGAAAAAGGAAAAAATAAAATCAAAAAAAAAAAAAAAAACAGTTTTAGAAATCAAAACAGTCAATTAATAAAAGATGTGGAAGCTGTATATGGTGCCTGCCCTGAAACAGCTTGTGGCTGGTTAAGCTCACATTTAGTGCGCATCCAGGGGCTTGCCTTCAGGCTGCGGCAGGTCAAGCCTATCCGTTGTATAATACCCCACAGCAACTAATGACGGGCCGAGGGCCATACCGTAGTCTATAGGAGTAGAAGAAGAAGGAGTATGGACTCTCACAGTGAGGTGGAATGTTCAACAGCAATGAGAATAACAGGCAGCATCACCACCTAGCAGATCCCCATTAGGAATCTGCTATTGACCCCAGATAGAAGACAGTAGAAAAATGTGCTTTAACAGGAATTGTCCTGATGCAGCGAGGCACACTAGAGCACACAATGTCTGCCGTTCCTTCGTCTGCCAGGAACATTGGGCAATATCGATGTTCATCGTTTCGTAACTTGGATCCTTCCAAGTGCCTGCAGGGTAGACAATACAGGATGAAGGTAATGGCTCATTGTTACCATCTAGTAACAAAGATTATTGGTAAAACTTTTCTATCCTCTGCCTTTTTCTCTTGTCCAAATACACTGTCCCTGTGACAGTCATATGCTGGTCTTAGCTGCTTCAGTACACACAAAGGTAGTACTCACTGTCAGCCACATCATCTTTAAATATAAAGAAAAATGTTACATGCAGTTCCTGCTGGTCCAGGTGGAGGAGAGCCTGAAAGTTTTTAATCTCTGAAACTAGAAGAATAGTGAAGAGTCCAGGCTTTGGAGCTAAACAGATCTTTTTTTTTTTTTAAATTGATCTTACTTTAATTACAGCTTCACCATTTACTAGCTGTATGACTTTGGGAAGTCGCTTAACCTCTTTAGGTCTCAATTTCCTCATCTGGAAAACCGTACGATAGTATCAACTTTACTGGATTGTCATGATGACTAAGCAAAGTGCCTGTGCAGGGCCTGTGCATACTGGACTAATAAATTAGAGCTATTATATGGGACCTAACCTTTAGCAGAACCAAAATCCCTAAGAAGTTGAAACAAATTGTGCTTTCATGATAGCTCAGCCTGTCCTAGGTCAGAATATTCCAGAAAATGTAAATACTGTAGTTCACTGTATACAAAATCAGCCGTAAGGAATACAAGCCAAGAAAAGGAACAGAAAGAAACAATGACGCTGTAAGATCTATGCTTTACACGAATGCTCACACCCAGAAAAGCGCATGTCTGTCATAATCTTTCTTTTGGGGCCCCCATGTCTGAAAACATAATTTAGAACCACTGCCAGTGAAAACTTTCTTCCTTAAATATCTTCCTCTCATGTACAACAATACTGTCTTAAGCAATTTCAACTTTTTCCTACTTCTCTTATCATGTAAGAGGTACGCGAGCAGTCTAACATAAGGTATGTTCCCCGCGTTTCCTCCACTACTAAATATGTCCTGTTGTTGGACTGCATCAAGATATTCCCCAGTGTGTCCCCATGTTGGGGTTGTGGCTTCGTTATCCTAGACGATGTCACACCACCAAGGTTTAAAGCTGTACTACCATGGAAACATTGGGGTGAGGTAACCTCATAGCTCAACGTTGTTCCAGGCTTGTTGGCCCTGTTGTCAGCCCTGACAACTTGCCAGAATCCCTTCTTAATCATTAGCGCTGTATGATTATACAAATGGGCCCAGTCCTTTCCTTTTCAGAAAATCAAGGTGAAAACTGACACTAAACTCTTCAGGGCAAATCTGGTAGAGGATGAAATTCACGGCTAATAGTGCTGACCTTAAAAAAAGTCACCAGAATAAGGGGCCGGCCCCGTGGCCGAGTGGTTAAGCTCACACGCTCCGCTTCAATGGCCCAGGGTTTTGCCAGTTTGGATCCTGGGCGCGGACATGATACCGCTCATCAGGCCATGCTGAGGCCGTGTCTCACATGCCACAACTAGAAGGACCCACAACTAAAATATACAACTATATACTAGGGGAATTTGGGGAGAAAAAGCAGGAAAAAAAAAGATTGGCAACAGTTGTTAGCTCAGGTGCCAATCTTTAAAAAAAAAAGAAAATCACCAGAATAAAATGGAAGGAGGAGCCGAAGTTCCCTCTGGCTGCCTCAAAGCAGCGGGGTCACCCCCTCTCCCCAATTCTAAATCAGTAATAATCTGAAGGCAGGGCAGGAATGTGCCTTTGAACAAGAATCCCAAGATGATTCTCATGCACGTTCGGAAACACTGACTTATAACCTTGCAGTGACAGAGAGCGAGCGAGAGAGCAGGGGAAGCACTTAGATCACAACAGGGAAGAAAGAGGCGCCCCCTC